TTTTTCTTGCCCTTTATTTTTATGTTCGTCGCAATAGTAAACAAATCAACTTTTCTCTAAATTATTATCCTCCTTTTCTCTTTGACTAAACATCTCTCCCACCACTTTTGTCATTTTTTTATTTCCACGGCAGTCCTCGTCCTCAATTCAGCGAAACGAAGTTTCTTTTTTACCGCAGTCGAAACAAGTATCTTTTCCGCAATCATGGCATAATTTAGCATTATTTAAACCTCTGATAGGGAAATCAAAGTAATCATTTTTCTCTCCACATTGATTACATTTGAAATTATTTTTTGACATAATATTGATATTTATTAATTTTACAGTGATTATTGTAAAAATAGTTCGAAAAGAGACTATTCTCGCCCACGTTTTCTTTTCTTTCTAATTTGCCGAATAATAAAAATGATAAAACGAACAAAAAAATATACGAGAGCGAAAATCCAGAGAGAAACCATAACAGAAAAACGTCCCAAATTAATTCCTAAAAATTTTCCTAATGAAGTTTCGGTTAATCAGATATCAATAAGAAGCGAAGACAAAAAAATAACCAATAAAAAGAGAACGATAAAAAAGCCTCAATCTTTCCTCTAGTTTTTTTAGACATATTACTTAATGTGTTTTACAAATTCTTTTTTAGATAACTACAAAAAAGACCCGTAAAAGTATATTTTGAATGTTTTTTTCTTTTTTTTCACCGCAAACTATCAGGAATATAATCACCCAAAAAAGGAAATTCGCCATGATCCGCATATCGGCACAAATAGAGGTTAATTTTGTTTTTATTTAATTTATTTTTACTCAATTGATAATGAAGTCTAAAAGATGCTTGTCAGCCAATTACCGCATCCTGTAAGCCATGTAATAATAATAATTTGATGGGTAAATTTTGGGGCAAAACCAAGTAGGGATTAATTTTTTCCAATTTCTCCCGTGAAGAATGAAGAGTTTCTTTAATCAATTTTTTCAGAAAAAAATGTTTTCAATAGTAATTTATTCCGCTTCCCAATGCCCTTTCTAATTGAGTAGAAAACTGGTCAAAAGGAGCCTCACAAATGGCAAACACCACTTCTGAATTGGCCGCTCCCGCAAAATAACTGGTTCAAAAAATTAAGGTAGCCGCCCCCATTGAAAAACCATAGAGACCAATTTTTTCCGGTCGATATTTTTCTTTTACCCAAGTAATAATATCTTGTAAATCACAGGCCTCAATCTGACCCAAAGCAGTAGCAGATTTACCCGAAAGCCCGTGGTTACGAGCATCATAAGAGACTACTTGATAACCGAGCTGGAGAGCCAAGTGCATCGTATAAAAGAGCGACCAACGATTATTGGTTAAGCCATGGCAAAAGATAATTACTTTGTTATTATTTTTATTTATCAACAGGGGACGAATGAGAGTAACGTCCAGTGTTAACTCATCATAAGTAGTAATGACCCGAAAATTTTCTTGCAAACCCAATTTTTCCAAAAAATTGAAATATTTTTGGTAAGCAACCACATTAATTTTATTCTTATTAGTCCCTTTAATTAACTTTATTTTGTCATTAATTATTTCGATAGAAGTTTGTGTGTCGGCTACACTTGGAGCGGTTACCGAAGGAGAAAAAAACCTCCTTATATTCTTATAAACTTTTTTCAGCCAAAATCAAAATTTGCGTAACATCAGTGACCGATATTAATATTTTTTTCATATCGTTGTCTGCACGAAAATATTTCCATTTATTTTTTAGTCTTACAGATAAAAATATTTCTATCTATTTTTGGCCTACGACAAAATATCAGGTTTATTTTTAACCTCCGATAAAGTATTATATCTACTTTTCTTTTTTTGTTTCTAGTGTTCGGTCGCTGTCTTTGCTGTGGTCTGTTTTTTTACTGATTATTACCCTTGCTGGCCGAAGTACTTGGTCAGCCAACAGATAACCTTTGGCTACTACTTTGACAACTGTTCCTGCCGGCAAATTATCGTTTTCCACCTCTTCCACTAATTCATAAAGACGACTACTTCATTTATCCTGGCCGACCGCAATTTTTATTTCGGTAATTCCTTCGTTTTCCAGATTTCTTCACAAGATATTTCGCAACATTTCAATTCCAAGTAAATGGTTTTTAACTGGAACCTCGGGGTCAGCCCGCATAGCGGACAGAGCCTTTTCCTCTAAATCAACCAGAAAATTTAATACTCAACTAAGTAATTTTTTGTTACTGTATTTGTATATTTGCTCCATTTGGCGTTGTCAACTTTGACGCTCATTTTTCAATTCGGCCGCCAATAGTAATTTTTCGTTTTTTAAATTGGCAATTTCAGCGGTCAAATTTTTCAATTCTTGGTTTTTATCTTCTCCGGAAGCAGTTTTTTTTTGCTCCGGGGACGGGGAGGATTCCGCGCCCTTTTCTTTTTTGTCGGTTGGGGATTTAGTTTTACTTTGTTTTGCTGAATCTTTTGAACCTTTTTCATTCATATAAATTAATTTTACCTTCCCCAACCGAGAAGGCTCTTTCCTCAAATTCTCAACTTGTAAGAATTGGGGAGGGGATGAAAGAGAATTGGTTCACCAATTCTCTTCTTAAAGACAAAATTTTTAATTTTGTTCTTCTTAATTGGCTAAAAATATTATATACTATGCTTAAAAAGTGCTTTCAATATCGGCTCAATTTAAAGGCTCGTGCCGAACAAGAACTAGACCAAATAGTCGCCGAATGTTGCTGATTATACAACTTCTTTCTCCAAACCCGCCGAGAACGAGACCAAAATAAACAAAAACAGCTCACTAAAAACGAACAAGAAAAGTTATTAACTGAGTTAAAAGAACGGCGCCCTCAACTCCACTTAATCTTTTCCCAAGTTCTCCAAAATGTCGCTAACCGAGTAAATGAAACTTGAAAGAATTATCGCCAACATAAGCAAATCAACCTAAGAGCAGGCTATCCAAGGTTTAAACCATTAAGTAAATATAATTCCTTCACCTACAAACAATTTGGATTTAAGTTAAAAGGAGATAAATTAATCCTCTCTTGCGGTAGAGAAAAAGAGGAATTATTTCTTAATGTTCGCTTACATCGCGAATTAGAAGGCAAAATAAAAATCTTATCTCTGGTTCGCAAAAATGGCAAATATTATGCTTGCTTTGCTAATGAAGTAGAGAAAAAATTATCGCCTAAAACGAATAAGAAAGTCGGGATTGATTTAGGTTTAATTGATTTCTGTGTCTTGGATAATGGCAAAAAATACCCTAATCCTCGTATCTACAAAAAAGGAATCAAGAAATTAATTGAAGCCCAGAAAAGAGTAGATCGCAAAGAAAAAGGAAGTAACAATCAGAAAAAGACTAGATTATTATTAACTAAAAAATGAGAGAAGTTAGTTAATCAAGCCAAACATTATTCTTATCAAATCGCTAATGAATTGGTTAGGAACCATGATTATATTGGAATGGAAGATTTGAAAGCGAAAAAGATGATTGGGGATAAAAAGAGAATTTGAAAGAATATTCGTAAAAGTATTCAGCAAGTCAGATGAAACACAACCCAAAACATTGTTGCCCGCAAAGTGGAAGAAACTGGCGGGCAATTGGTTAAGGTTAATTCTGCTTATACTAGCCAGACATGTAGTTTTTGTGATGAGCCAGCGAAGGAAAAAGTTGAGTTATCTCAAAGAGTATACGAATGTTGGAATTGTGGGAAAAAACTAGACCGTGATGTTAATTCAGCCCGAAATATCTTAAAATTGGCTGAACCTAGGTTCGGTGCGAGCCTTCGGATTTAAAACCCAAGAAGCCCCCATCCTCAAACTCATAAGAGTTAGGTGGGGGTAGTTCACTGCTACTAAATTGGGAAAAGGAGCAGTTTTTTGAGCATTTTTATATTAAAAGTGTCCGGTTGACAGCAATTAGATTAAAAAAAAGTAATTAATGACTGCGGCAGATGGCGTAATTCACGTTCCAGTAATGTTGAAAGAGGTTTTAGACCATCTCAACTTAAAAAAAGGAGGGATTTATGTTGATGGAACTTTCGGTCAGGGCGGTCATTCACAAGCAATATTGAAAAACCTGGAAAAAGGAAGGCTAATTGCTTTCGAATGAGATAAGGAGTTTAGCAATCTGACCCAAAAAGATAAAATTTTCTTCGCTCCTCGCTTTTGTCTCATTAATGACAATTTTGCTAATTTTGAGGAACATTTAAAAAAGATGGGTGTCCAAGAAGTAGATGGTTTTTTATTTGATTTAGGGCTTTCTTCAGACCAGTTGACGGCTACAGAAAGGGGATTTAGTTATCGGTCAGATTCGCCGTTGGATATGCGGATAAGCCAGACAACCAAACTATCAGCCACCGATATCATCAATAACTACCCAGAAGCCAAATTAGCCGATATTTTTTATCATTATGGAGAAGAAAAAAAAGCCCGTCCGATTGCCCGCAAAATTTGTTACTGACGAAAAAAA